CCCTATCTATACCTTGTGGCTAATAGCCACTGATGGACCTCTGCTCCATATGCTTATCTAATTCCCTTTTGAAGCCGTCCATGCTTGTAGCCGCCACCACTTCCTGTGGCAGTGAATTCCATGTGTGAATCACTCTTTGGGTGAAGAAGTACTTCCTTTTATCCGTTCTAACCGGACCGCTCAGCAATTTCATGGACTGCCCACAAGGAGTTCTTGTATCATGAGAAAGGGAGAAAAGGACTCTTTTCTCCACCTGCTCTATCCCATGCATAATCTTATAAACCTCGATCATGTCACCCCTCAGTCGTCGTTTCTCCAAGCTAAAGAGCCCTAAGCGCCTTAACCTTTCTTCATAGGGAAAGTGTTCCAACTCTTTTATCATTCTAGTTGCCCTTTTCTGCACTTTTTCCAAAGCTATAATATCCTTTTTAAGGTGTGGTGACCAGAACTGCACACAGTACTCCAAATGAGGATGTAACATCGATTTATACAGGGGTATTATGATACTGGCTGATTTGTTTTCAGTTCCCTTCCTAATAATCCCCAGCATAGCGTTGGCCTGTTTTCATTGCAGTCACACACTGTCTTGACATTTTCAGTGAGTTATCTACTACGACTCCAAGATCTCGAGGGCAGTTGGGTTTTCAGCAAAAGCACTTGAGGAACAGGCCAGTGGCTTCCAGGAATGTCGACTTAACCTGGATTCTCATGTTGTGTCTCCCGATTTCTATCCAGATCACCAGAATCTACTGTTATGCAACAGTGGTCAGCCTGCAATACCTGGGCCCCATCATCCTCACCCTGCACTGTACGCTGCTCCTCAAAACTCTAGGTAAGGGAGAAAGGCGGACCTCTCTCTTCCAAACCCAACCAAACCCAACCAACCTATAGCAGTAACCAGTGGCTTAGATGGACTGGACAAACTTATTTACTGATTTATGGTACCTATATATCCCGCCCTCCCCCATGGTGGACTCAGGGCGGCTTGCAACCAATGTTCCCTCTAAGTGGCGGAGTCGTGGGAGCAACAATTCAACTTTCTGAGCTCCTGGCATTAGAGTTGTGAGCAGGTGATTTGGCTACTGCATAAATCAGTTTGCTCTGGAGCCCTCCTTCCTGGGCTAAGACAAAAAGAGCCGGAGGCTAAAAAACTGTGAGCTAGCTCACACTAACTCAGCTTAGAGGGAACACTGCTTGCAACATAAACCCAATACAATAAATATATAATTAAAGCCAGTTAATTAAAAGGAGATGGCTGCAAAAAAACAACAACAACACATTGTTCAAGAGCAGTCCGATATGCCTCCTGTTAAGATTTGAGCAGGGAAATAAGCACCCTCTAAGCTGTGGAGTCTTGTGAGCCAAAATTCTACTTTGTGAGCTACCGGCATTCAAGCTGTGAGTGAGCAGTTTGGCTGCTGCATAAATTTATATTTATTTATTTATTCGTTAGATTTCTATCGCACTCTCCTGCCGAAGCGGCTCAGGGCGGCTTACAACAATTATAAAGCCAGCATAAAATACATACATAAAATACAACTCAATAAGATAGCTCTGCTCATTTCCAATTAATTAAATAAATACAGTTTGCTCTGGAGCCATCCTTCCTGAGCGAAGACAAAAATGTGGTGAGCTGGAGGCTAAAAAAGTGTGAGCTGGCTCACACCGAGACAGCCCAGAGGGAACACTGGCTGGGGACACCTGCCGCCTCAACCGAAGGTCTGACGGAACAGCCCCGTTTACAGGCCCTGCGAAAAGGTAACAAGTCCCGCAGGGCCCTGATCTCAACTGGGAGCGTGTTCCACCAGGCCGGGGCCAGGGAAGAAAAGGCCCTGGTCCTGGTCGAGGCTAAGCGGATGTCGTTTGGGCTGGGAGAGCTAAAAGATGTTGATCGCTGGAGCGTAAGGCTCTGCAGGGCACATATGGGGAGAGGCGGTCCTGAAGATATGTGGGTCCCTGGCTGCATAGGGCTTTGAAGGTTCGTGTGTCAGACGGCACCACTGGACTTTTTTGGATTGCTAGCTATTGGGGGGGGGACGTGCAGATCTGTCCTCGCAGAGGAGGGAGAGCTTGTACCTGAATAAAACTTGGTCTTAAAGGTGCCACGAGACTGTTTTGGACCGGGGGGCGGAGGGGGCTTTGCAACTTACCTGGCTGCTTCTTGCTCTGACTGAGGGCTGCTGGGAGCAGGGGGCGGGGCTTGTTGCATGTGCCCGCCCCCTGGGCTCTTTACTGCCGGAGCTCCGCTCCCGTGCGCTCCGGCAGGAAATGACCCCTGGTTGTTGGTTTTGTGGAGCACAAGGCTCTCTGGGGCGTCTATGGGGAGGGACGGTCCTGAAGGTATGCTGGTCTTCTGGAGGAGGGAAGGGCTACCCATGGCTGTTGGCCACGGTTAGCTAAGTGGAAGCTCCACGTTCAGAGGCAGTGGACCTCTGCATACCACAAATGAGGAGGGCCCCGTGGCTCCGTGTGCAGGGCATCCACTCTCAGAAACAGACTGCGGGTCCCAGTGGACCTGTGGTCCTATTCCTCCTTTTGGTTTTTTCTCTTCTGGCTTTTGCCTGGCCCCAAGTTTGGGTCTTCCAGGAGAGAGGGAGAAAACGTTCTCCACAAAGACTCCCCAAGACTGGCACAGACAATAAATTATACCCAAACTGGCGGCCATTAGAAGCTGCCTGACGCTTTGCACGCTCTACTTGCACTCTCTTTCTTAGGCGAATATTCCTGGGGCCTTTACCCCGAGCCCGCTCCGACGTCGCCAGCCGTGGACGCCGCCCCTGTTCTCCGAGCTGGGCTCTCGACGGACGCCGGCGGGGAGGACATCCAGGCCACCGTGGAGCAGATCACAGGGGCGCTGGGGGCGCTGGGCACCGTCTTCACACCTCTCTTCTACCGCGGGCTCCTCTCGTTCCTCACCTGGTGGGTAGCCGCCTGCCAGATCGTCGCCAGCCTCTTTGGCCTCTATTTCCATCAATACCTGGCTGCCTCCTAACTCGGCCGGGCGCGGAGCTGGACTTCCGCGGACCCCCCCCCCCCCCACACTGGCAGCTATTGCGCCGGGGACTTTGGCCTCGCCTGGCAGGACGCGCCACATCGCCTCTGCTATGCCGGGGCAGACAATCAGTCCGTGCGGCGCTGGGACCAGTGATGGAGGAGCCACTCTGCCACGCCTCTTCCCAGCGGAGAAGCATTTCGCCCACGCCCCTTGCCCCGCCAGGAGTGGCAGAGAGCGGACGGGACACCGGTTTCAGGATCGCTCTGCTCACCCATGTTGCCTTCCAGCTGACTGATTTGAGGGTCTAAGGAGACATTAGCAGGGCGGGCCCACTGCTGTCAGCATGATCCTTTCGTGTGCACGTGGGGGCCACAGCCCGGCAACAGAGAATCGCCATTTTTATTTCTTTCGCAAGGGGCTTCTGAGTCCTTAGGGGTGTGAAAACATCGGACTGTGCGGGTACAGGGGGAGGCCTGCCGTAATCACAGGAGGCTTAGAGCGGCTGGGGAAATGGCTGCATGGCTGCATGCCAGCCCGAGCTTGCTCAAAACCTGAGGTTTAGGGGTCTCCGGCAATGCTCCCTCTAAGCCGTGGAGTCCTGTGAGCAAAAATCCTACTTTGCGAGCTCCTGGCATTAAAGTTGTAAGCGAGCGATTCGGCTGCTGCATAAATCAGTTTGCTCGGGAGCCCACCTTCCTGAGCCAAGGCAAAAAACATGTGAGCCGGAGGCTAAAAAAAGGTGAGCTAGCTCACACTGGGTGCGTTCAGACGGGCCGTTTAGTCCGCTTTCGGCACGCTTCAGTAACGGATTTTATATCCACGTTCACACACCCAACATCTGTGCATCGTCCCCAGCCGTCGCTTTCCTGCTCAAACCCCCTTTAAAATGGAGTATTTTGTTACCAGGTCCCCAAGTGGTCTTTTCCCGATTCTCTGGTTCTAGCCGCACTTTTCTGATCACTCCTGCGGTGTCGAGCCTGAGGCTTCCGCTCTTCGCCCACCATTTTATTTTAGCGTCGGCGGTATGTGCACTGGCGGAGCTCCGCTCCCACGTTATTAAAAACAATGTTTAAACGGTGCCTAGTTTTAGCGTTTAGACGAGTTCGGGATCTCACGGAGGCCAGTTTCGGGGTAAACGTTTAAAGGGAAGTGTTACAGCAGTTGGGTTGAAGTGGAAATCGCTGTTCTGCGCACGCGTGAAAATTTTAATTTTAAGATGGCCACTTGTGCACATGCCCAAACTGAGAGAGAGAGAAAAACAACAGCGAAGCACGCTCTCACGTGTGGATGGCGGGGAGCGATGTGGCTGCGCAGCGATCCGGAGCAAGGAGGTGAGTGTGATCGCGATTCTCCAGGTTAAAAAAAACAACGCATTGGGACCGGAGCAATTTAAACTGCTCCCAGCACACCTTCTGACCGCACCCACTGACTCAGCTTAGAGGGAACACTGGTCTCCAGCCTTTTTCGAGCTTGCAGGCACCTGGGGAATTCCGACACCGAGCATCTCAGGGCGTGAGGGCGTGCGTAACTCTCATGGTCACGCTTCCGCATTTCAGGCCGAAGCGGCCTTTCACCGGATGCCTGTTCAAAACGAACAGATTGTTCAAAATGCTTTCTCGCTCAGGAGACCCCTGAGTGAAATCGTAGAGAACGTAACTCTCTTATGTGCTCCGTGGAATTTGAATTTAAAGGGGCAATTTCTCTCGGCCATTCGTAGGTTTTTAAAGCATTATCATAGCTGCCGGCTTTGTGTTCCTTTTTGGTTTTTCCCCTGTATTTCGTAGACGGAGCACAGCACAGAATGTCCCCCTCCTCTTCCCTCTCATACCAATCCTGTCAGGTAGGCTAGGCTAAGGAACAGCAGCCAGCCTTTCATGCATGGCAGAATTTGAACTCAGGGCTGCTGAGGGGCAGGGGAGTCAGGGTACCAAACTCCTGGGGCTGGGCTAGGAGATTCCTGCTGGTCCTAGTAACTGATGGGCAAGACACCATGGGATAACAGAAGATGGACCCAAATTCCACAGCAGTTAACAGAGCAAGCTGGAGAGACTCCCCCGTGCAGGGTTATTTGGGGGCAGGAACGCACAGGAGCGGAGTTCCAGCTGGCTCCTGAATAGGCCACACCCAACAGCAGGAACTCATTAGGACTGGCTACATTAGGGGTGTGTGGCCTAACATGCAAAGGAGTCCCTCCTTTGGGTAGTAAAGGGCGGGGTATAAATCCAATCATGATGATGAAGAAGAGGAGGAGGAGGAGATTAGGTTTATACCCTGCCCTTCCCTTGGCGTCTTGGAGAGGCTTACAGACTCCTTTCCCTTCCCCTCCCCACAACAGACACACTTTGAGGGAGGTGGGATTCCCCACTCCTCCACTTGCACCTGGCTGGATGACCTTGGGCAGGCCTACTCCTCCACTTGCACCTGCTGGATGACCTTGGGCAAGCCGTAGTTCTGAAAAAGGGCAGTTTCTGTCAAGAGCTCTCTCAGCCCCACCTACCTCACAAGGTGTCTCTTGTGGGGAGGGGAAGGGGATTGTAAGCCCTTCTGAGACTCCTTCGGGTAGTGAATGGTGGGGTATAAATCCAATCTCTTCTCTCTTTTTGGTTGTATCTTATCATTTCACCGTGTGTATTGCGTTTTATCATGACCTTGCCCACGCCGAGCCCGCTCATAGGGGAGAGCGGACTATAGGTCTGATGAAAATAAATAAATAAAGTGTGTGTAAGTCCTACCGGGTCACTTCTGACTTCTGGCAACTGTATGACTCAATGGCCTTGAAAGCATCGGGTCGTGGCTTCCTGGGCAGAGCCCACCCATCTTGTGTTGGGTCCAGGGGTCATTTGGGGGGGGGGACGCGGGGGGATGCCACCCCCCCGGGTGAGGGGCGGGAGGGCGGGGCCTGGGGACCCCTCCACTGGAGGTCGCCGCCGGCTGTGGGGAGGACACACTTCTGGTGATGTCAGGCGGTGTGGCATATGCTAATGAGTTATGCCAATGAGTCCCCCTAGCTCTTTTTCTACGAAATGACCCCTGGTTGGGTCCAACGCTCCCTCTACGCTGTGGAGTCTTGTGAGCAACAATTCTACTTTGTGAGCTCCTGGCATTAAAAGTTGTGAGGGAGCGATTTGGCTGCTGCATAAATCAGTTTGCTCTGGAGCCCTCCTTCCTAAGCCAAGACAAAAATGTGTGAATCGGAGACTAAAAAACTGTGAGCTAGCTCACACTCACTCAGCTTAGAGGGAACGCTGCTTTAGAGCCAGGGCTCCTGTCTGCGAAATCTAGATGGACAGAGAAAGCTGCCTCAGGCAGATGACCCAACCAATACTCCAAGCTGTGGAGTCCTGTGATCAAAAATTCTACTTTGTCAGCTCCTGGCATTCAAGTTGTGAGCGAGCGATTGGGCTGCTGCAGAAATTAGTTTGCTCTGGAGCCCTCCTTCCTGGGCGGAGACAAAAATGTGTGAGCCGGAGGCTAAAAAACTGTGAGCTAGCTCACACTACACTCAGCTTAGAGGGAACACTGGTTGGGTCATCTTCTTTTCCTGCTGCCTTCGACTTTTCCTAGCATTGTCTTTCCCAGTGACTCTTGCCTCTCTTAATATGACCCAAGTACAATAGCCTCACCCAGGCTAGCTCAATCTCATCAGATCTCAGAAGCTAAGCAGAGTCAGCCCTGGTTAGTATTTGGATGGGAGACTGACGAGGAATACCAGGGCCATGATGTAGAGGCAGGTGATGGCAAACCCACCTCTGAACGTCTCTTGCCTTGGAAGCCCTACGGGGTCGCCATAAGTCGGTTGTGACTCGAGGGGCCTTTCTGCCCTCACCACAATAGCCTCAGTTTGCTCCTTTTCATTTCTAGGTAGAGTTGAGGCTTGATTTGGTGTCGAACCCACTGGTCTGTCTTTTCGGGGCTCCACGGTCTCTGTAAAATTCTCCTCTGACACCACATCTCTGAGATTTGAAAGGGGGAGAACAGGAGAGCAGCCTTCCGGCACAGTAAAGAAAGGCCGGACGTGGCCGAGTGAGTGTGTGCATACGGGGTGGGCTGGGGCTGGTTGTACGGTTCTGGGAGATTCCAGTTCACCAAGCTGCTCCAAGGGCAATATCTAGTGCTGGGGTGTCAAACATGCAGCCCAGGGCCCAGATCAGGCCCCCGGAGGACTTCTATCAGGCCCGCAGTGTGAGCTGCCTTTGGGTCCCCCTTGTGGAGAAAGGCGGGATTTAAATAAACAAATGAGGGTGGGGGAAGAGCACCGCTTCCGGGCAATTCACGGCTTGCTCTGCCAAGGAGGTATCTCATGTGCTGACACCCCACCCAGGAACTGAGAGCTCCAGGCTTCCGTTCCAAGCCGAGACGCTTAAATTGATGGGCCCGAATGGCAGAGACAGCCTCACTGATGGCAACACCAGCGGAAGGCTGCCTTAGATGGCAGCCCCGAGGAATTCTGGGAAGCTGGCTGCCGCTCTTTCATTTTGCCAGGTCTGAAACGCAAGAGGTGGCAGTGACCCCAGTTCGCCTGGAAAGCCAGTGTGGTGTCGTGGTTAAGAGTGCTGGACTCTAATCGAATCTGGGAGAACGGGGTTTGATTCCCCACTCCTCCATGTGCAGCTGCCGGTGTGACCTTGGGTCAGTCACAAGTTCTCTCAGAGCTGTTCTCTCAAGGGCAGTCCTCGAAAGAGCTCTCTCCGCCTCACCCACCTCACAGAGTGTCTGTTGTGGGGAGGGGAAGGGAAAGGAGATTATAAGCCGCTCTGAGACTCTGAGTGAAGGGCGGGGTAGGAATCCAGTCTCTCTTCTTCTTCTTCTGAAGGGGAAAAAATAGAGTCCCACGAAGGGGGTCATTCAGGTTTTGTGAGAGACTGGCAGCCCCCACAGGGCATCAGCTGTGACCTGAAGGGATGGGGGAAGGCTGTGCCACGCATGCCCCTGGAGCCTCATCCCCCTTTCTGGTCAAACTTGCTCGGTCTGGGGCAAGGGATGCTCTGTATTCTTGGTGTTTGGGGGGGGGCAACAGTGGGGGGAGGGCTTCTG